ATTGTACTATGTTTCCTTTTTACTTTTATACTCTTTAATACCCTACTACTTATTACGTACTGCACAGCACCCTCACAAACCTTGTGGAAACTAATGAAAACATGGTTACAGTCTGATTTTTGTACTACACTTATCTCTTTGGAGTTTTCTTCCAGCTTTTTTCAAAAATTAATTGAAAGCTTCGGTTTGCGGCACTGCATCTGCACTTTCAGTTTTTCAAGTTTCTATTCTTTAATTTTTGAAAACGTGGAAAATAGTAATTTTTGGCCGTCTTTATGTAGTAGCCTATCTTACATGATTCATTTCACCAGAGTTAGTCTCACCTCAACTTACCTATCTTTTTTCAAAACCTTTTCGTTTAACATACTTTTAGAGAACCATTTTGGGCCAGCTCAAAAAATAGTCCTTGAACTTTACCTTTCGTCATATTTACAATGATTTGCGACACCTTACACATAATGTAGCTCATTTCTCTACAATTTACATTTGATTCTGCTCCCTTCTTATAGGCTCCACAGCTGCTTCCCCAAAATGGGCGAGAAGCATCGAGCACTTGTCGAATGCAATGGACTCCACCTGTTCATTACTCTAGTTGCAATACTTCTGGCGTTAGCTGTTACTTTTCTGCTGACGTACTTTCTCACGAGGGACGCCTACAAAACTACAAAACCGTAAGTAGTTTGAATTTTAAGAAGACCTTATTTTACCATTGGCATATCCGCCCTCTTTGAAGACCATGGTAATGCCTTACTGTATGTTACGGTACATATACGATGCACGATCGGAATCGTTTCGGGTTTGCTTGAAAACTAGTATACTGAGGTTGACTGACTGGTATTCATAAAAATCACATCCGCTCGCCTTACTAGAGCCAGTGTGAAAATATGCAATTCCACCCTTTCCAGTATATCAATGATTTTACCCTACCATTATGTACCAACCTTAATTTTATGATATGATAGCGACTATTTATGTGATTTGAATATCATTTTTGTAGTAAGTATGACAAATAACCCTACTAGACTACTTTTAGACAAATCCGTGATTTTGACCAGTTTAGCATTTACCCACCATTTTATCAGGCATTTCAAGCTGTTCTTTGAAAAGTTCATTGCAAAGAAAGGAGCTCTAGAGAAGAAAAGTATAGAATCCATCGGAGTACATTTCGACTAATAAGATGTTAGCAAACACGACATCTCACATTTGCCAGCCTAAGGAATCCCGCACCACTAAATAACCAAGAGCTGAAGATGTTTGAACTGAATTGTGTCAATAGCGCACTCTTATTGGGGATGTAGCAACAAAAAACCAATGAATAGCCTTACTTTTACTTATTTTTCAATGCAAGTTTTAAGAGTGGTAGTAATGTTGCAGAAACGTAGATGCAGCTGTGAATTAATTTGGCTGCAGGCTAT